GCCTACACCAGATTCACCAACCGTGTGGCCAGGCACTAGGCCTGATTCTGATGTGGGCAGATTCACCTCAATGAAGGTGACTGCCACAGAACAGGAGTTGCTGTTTCTGACTCCTGCAAAGGGGCTTCTGGGAACAGGCCTCCATAAGCTACTTCTGGGAACAAGAGAAAACTCCTGCTTGATGTGCCAAACCAATAATGAAATTGTGTAATACTTTTTTACCTCCTCACCCCAAGAAATAAGTATGTCAGAACACATTGTGACGGGGTTCTTTTAGAACTTGGGGGTCAAACCTGATCGTGTCACGTGATGTATTGAGATGTATCATGACGGGGTTGGCCATGTGATGCATCTGGTGTGGGGGCCGCCAATTTGATACCCCTGTATGATCAAACAACTTTATTCATGGGGAAGAGGTTTTAGGAAAATTATAACCCCCGCTCTATAACATTGTTTACCATCTTTGGGAGCAAATTTGGGGGCATGGAGTTAATAGTGAAGAACTGAGCAGTTTAACTGCCTTGAGCAAAAATGTCTTACCTTTTTATTTTGGAATAAAGATCTGAAAACATGGATGCACGTAAATACTATGTGCATTATTCATGCATGTTGTGTCTGTACTTGAAATTATTCTGCAGATGTTCCTTGAAGTGATATCAAAGTGCAAAGTGATGCCATATATAATTATGTGAGCAATACAAAATTATTTATTAAAAACATCTACCTTTGCTCTGGAGCCTTGCTTTTTGCCCTCCTGCCATGGGAATGTGCAGTACATGGGAGACAATGTGAGTCATAGCCCTTTCTGAAGTTGCATTTCCTCCTTGCTTTTAAATATGAAGTGAATGCTGATTTTATGAGTGCTTGTGATAGCTGGACTTTTATAAATTTCATCCACATTTAAATAAGAATAAATAAGTGATTTGTGTATATTGTATGAAAAACCTTGGAAATTGATAAGTGAGTTGGGGATTCCTTAGTATACAATCAAATCTCTGTCTTTTTCAGTCCATCAGAGAAGTGACTGGCTATGTCTTGGTAGCGCTGAATCAGTTTGAATACCTTCCTTTGGAAAATCTGCGGATCATTCGTGGAACAAAACTATATGAAGACCGTTCTGCACTGGCCATCTTCCTCAATTACAAAAAAGATGGGAGTTTTGGACTGAGGCGGCTTGGGCTGAAGAATTTGACAGGTAAGAGAAAAACAAAAAGATTATAAGAGAAAAGCTTGATCCTATTAACCAGTGGTTTGCAGATCTTAGAAATAATATCAAAGGACTGGCCTGTTTTGATCTACAAAATGGAACAAAAGGGAAGAGAACAAATAAGCAAAACATCAGTTGTGTAACTTGCATTCTCCTTTTTGTACTAAAGCATTTGATTTCTCAATCACAATTCTGACAGGTTGTAATTTGACAACTGCCAGCTGTCTATCGTATATCTAAATCTTTTTATCAGTGGTGAGGAATCTGTCACTCTAGAAACTGTCCAACTATGTCTCTAAGCATCTGTGATGCTGGGCTACGCTTCAGGACTCCTGGAAATAATAGTTTAATAACATCTGGAGGTTATCAATTTCCCTTCCCAACACTTGTTATCATATTTATTACTGATATTGGAAGAAACAACACAGTTGTGAGCTGCTGAATTATCAGTCGAATGTCACATGCTTGGCATAACCTGTATCAACACAGCAATGCCACAAAGCCTCTTATCTAGATATGTTCTAAAGAAATGGTCAGTATTTTTTACTCTCTTGGAAATTGATATCATTAAAAGCGTGGAACTGATTGTGTGTAGGACCAGATTGGCAGATATCTGAAATAATCAATTACCACGCACACATATACTTCTACCTGCTATCCTGTTTAAAATTAGTGAATAGCTGCTGTATTCTGCTTAGTTGACAGACAGGCTTTAAGTCAAATGATGACATTCAAAGAATAAAGACCTTGCACGAGTAACAAACATAGTAACTCTGTGCCAGACAGTGTAGATTTCATTGAAAGGCATGGACCCATTTTTTAAAAAATGCAGTTCCCCAGAGCCATCATTTGACATGAGGTGGACATGCCCTCCAACTTCTGACCAATGTGCCTTTCTGTTATACCTTGAGATGCTTAGGCTAACTAGCTGGATGACCCTGATTTACCTTTGAAACTAAAATTAGCCTAAAGTAAGTGAGCTATTTGTACGTGCAATCACATGCTGATCCAGCTGACCAGAACTCTTAAACCAGTGTTTCTCAACCTTGGCGACTTTAAGTCCTGTGGACTTCAACTCCCAGAATCCCCCAGCCATCCCCCAGTCGCCAAGGTTGAGAAACACTGTCTTAAAGATACTATGGTGGATGAGAGGAAGGCAGTGTTTGGCTAAGCAAGAGAAGGCACAAGAAGAGGAACACGAAGGATTAGCCCTCCCTGTAAGAAAGGACTTTGGCGATTAGGGTTCCTTAGCATGGTACAACGAAGAGAAAAGGGAAGGGAGATAGGAAAATGCAAACTCAGACAAGGGATGAAAAAATGAACAGGGGGGGGGGGTTTCTCCCTGTATGAAATAACTTAGTTCTCCACTGAACTAACTATAGGAAGATCCAGGACCAATGGAATGAAATACTTTTCACACTGTGTACACCAGCAGTTATGGTGATGGCAGCCAACTTGGATGCTTTTAGAAAAAGAACACAACAGGCTCATGGACAACCTAACTACTAATATTAATGGCTGTTTTGCCATCTTTTGAATCACAAGCTGCCTGCTTCAGGCACTGGCTGATGGGAACCCATATTATCCTCCAGTCTCACCTGGTGAGCAGCGCAGATGGCTTCAGATGTTGAACTGGGTGGATCTATCATCTGATCCAGAAGGGATCTTTTTACGTCCTTGTGGCTTGAATCAATAGTCACCAGATTTATTTGATATTTGGGTCATTTTTTCCACACACACAAATATGTTTTTCTGGTTTTGTTTTTTTTTTGTGTGTGT